GGACCGCTCGCTGTGTGTTTTCTACATCGCCAGCCTCAGCGAGCGGACCCGGGCACGCCTCCCAGGGAGCGGTCCAGCAGATGATTTCCTCGCCTGTGTGGAGTGGGTGCTGGTGTGCTGTGAATCCCCATTCTACGTGGAAGAAGTCACCAGCACCACTCCAAACCCTGAACCCTCATCTTCTCTGGTCACCGTCAGCCCTGCCGAGCCCGCGCTCACCGTCAGCCCTGCCGAGCCCGCGCGCACCGTCAGCCCTGCCGAGCCCGCGCGCACCGTCAGCCCTGCCGAGCCCGCGCTCACCGTCAGCCCTGCCGAGCCTGCGCGCACCGTCAGCCCTCCCGAGCCGAACCTCCCTTCACCGCTGGTTCCGTCCAGCTCTCCTGAGATTGAATGCTCTTCACCGCTGGTTCCGTCCAGCTCTCCAGAGATTGAATGCTCTTCACCGCTGGTTCCGTCCAGCTCTCCAGAGTCTGAATGCTCTTCACCGCTGGTTCCGTCCAGGTCTCCAGAGATTGAATGCTCTTCACCGCTGGTTCCGTCCAGGTCTCCAGAGATTGAATGCTCTTCACCGCTGGTTCCGTCCAGCTCTCCAGAGTCTGAATGCTCTTCACCGCTGGTTCCGTCCAGGTCTCCAGAGATTGAATGCTCTTCACCGCTGGTTCCGTCCAGGTCTCCAGAGATTGAATGCTCTTCACCGCTGGTTCCGTCCAGCTCTCCAGAGACGGTATGCTCTTCACTGCTGGTTCCGTCCAGCTCTCCAGAGACTGTATGCTCTTCACTGCTGGTTCCGTCCAGCTCTCCAGAGACTGTATGCTCTTCACTGCTGGTTCCGTCCAGCCCTCCAGAGACTGTATGCTCTTCACTGCTGGTTCCGTCCAGCCCTCCAGAGTCTGTGTGCTCTTCACTGCTGGTTCCGTCCAGCCCTCCAGAGACCGTCCAGACCGTCCAGCCAGAGACCGTCCCGACCGTCCAGCCAGAGACCGTCCAGCCCGTCCAGCCAGAGACCGTCCAGACCGTCCAGCCAGAGACCGTCCAGACCGTCCGGCCAGAGACCGGCCAGACCGTCCGGCCAGAGACCGTCCAGACCGTCTGGCCCGAGACCGTCCAGACCCTCCAGCCCGAGATCGTCCAGACCGTCCAGCCCGAGACCATCCACTCCCCATCTGCCCTTCACCCGGGGACTCATCCCAAATATTTTTTGGGGGGGGGCCCAGTGTCCCAGCCACGGCCGCCTGAAAGGCCCTCACCGCCGTGGCCGCCCGAAGGGCCCTCACCGCCGTGGCCTCCCGAAGGGCTCTCACCGCCACGGCCGCCAGAAGGGCTCTCACCGCCACGGCCGCCTGAAAGGCTCTCACCGCCGTGGCCGCCGAAGGACTCTCACCGCCGTGGCCTCCCGAAGGGCTCTCACCGCCACGGCCTCCCGAAGGGCTCTCTCCGCCGTGGCCACCCGAAGGGTCCTCTCATCCTGCTCCATCCTGGCCACGCCCTCATCCTGCTCCGCCCTGGCCACACCCTCATCCTGCTCCGCCCTGGCCACGCCCTCATCCTGCTCCATCCTGGCCACGCCCTCATCCTGCTCCGCCCTGGCCACGCCCGCTTCCTGCTCCGCCCTGGCCACGCCCTCATCCTGCTCCGCCCTGGGGGGCCTCCTGCGCCTGACCACGTCCTCCACGGCCTCCAGGGCGCCCACCCCCCCTCCCCGCTGATGTTACGGCGTGAGGTCACGCCTACCGGGAGGGCGGAGTGATGTCACAGTCTTCGTCTTCACCTGTTTGTCTCGTCATCTGCACCACGCTTCCCCGGATCCTTTTGTTTCCTCTCCTGATCTCACTCCCTCATCAGCCACCTGTTCCTCGTCTGTTCATCATCATTTTCACCTGTTTGCACTCCATTTAGTTTGATTCCTCTGTCTATTTAGTTCCATCTGATTCAGTCTGTCTTTGTCAGTCGATGTTTGTTGTTACCTGGTGTTTGCGCCTGTTTCCCTGCCTTCCTGCCTGTATGTTTATAATAAATTCGTATTTTGATGGTAAACTGGATTCCTCCCGCTCCTTCGTCCTGCACTCCTGCACCCCTGCACCACACCCCGTGACAGTATGTCTGATGGAATTGACATAGGCTCATGCCTTTTTGCATCTGTATGCGTTTCCTCCAAATATCTCTCTAGCTCAACCCTAGATGTTTCTAAAGTGCCTTTCTTCTCACTGGTGAATGTAGATATCTTGAACTGAAACTTGATTAGATATCTGAAATTTGAGATAAGATATCTATAACTTTCCTTTTGCCAAGTCAAAATGTAATTGCAGATATCTTGAATTGGAGTTTTTTTGACTAGGCGAAATGACGTTGCAGATATCTGTATGCAAATTAGGCCCGCATCACACTTTAGGCGGGAACAGAGCATGTTTAATTAGGCTATATTAGCTACTGTTTTAACCTGAAATCATTACAGGCTATCATGGGTTTTTACTGTTAAAAAATAAAATAAAAAATAAGAACTAATCTGAACTAAGAACTTTTTTTTCTCATCTAAAAAGAAATTAATGTTATTGCACTGCCATTGCAAGAATAGCATGCATGTAAGCATCTTTATTAAAGTGAATTAGAGTGAATCTCTCATGCGTAAATCCTACATCAACAATAACCTACGGTAATTTTAAAGGGTTAGTTCACCCCAAAATGAAAATTAAGTCATTATTTACTCACCCCCATGCTGTACCAACCCCGTAAGACCTTCGTTCGTCTTCGGAACACAAATTAAGATATTTTTGATTAAATTTGAGAGCTGTATCACTACCACATAGGCTCTTAAGGGACTGGCTCTTGACGGCCCAGAAAGTCAATGAAGAAAAAGTTTAAATATTCCATGTGACCACAGTGGCTCAACTATAAGTTTATCAAGCGACGAGAATACTTTTTGTGCGAAAAAACAAACAAAAATAACGACTTTATTCGACTTTTCCTTTTCTTCCTTGTTGGCCTGAAACGAGACTTCCATACGATTTCCACGACGCATGCGCGAGAACTGAACTGAAGTAGTTGAAGGAGATCGCAATTCTCGCGCATGCGTCATGGAAATCGTATTGAAGTCTCGTTTCAGGCCAACAAGGAAGAAAAGGAATAGTCGAATAAAGTCGTTATTTTTGTTTGTTTTTTCGCACAAAAAGTAGTCTCGTCGCTTGATAAACTTATAGTTGAGCCACTGTAGTCACATGGAATATTTAAACATTTTCTTCATTGACTTTCTGGGCCGTCAAGAGCCAGTCCCTTAGGCAGTCTATGTGGTGGTTATACAGCTCTCAAATTTAATAAAAAATATCTTAATTTGTGTTCCGAAGACGAACGAAGGTCTTACGGGGTTGGTACATTATGGGGGTGAGTAATTAATGACTTAATTTTCATTTTTGGGTGACCTAAGCATGATCATAAACTTAGAAATGCATGGCAAACATTGCATGTTGCCAATTTTTTTGAGAAACCTGCAGGCTAATGCTAATAAATACAATTTGTGTCATGCTGGAAACATGGAAACATTTTCTTGTGTTTTTTTTTTTCTTCAATTATGGCCAACACCATGACAGCTTCTTTCTTCTTCCATTCATAGAAATAAGGAAATGAACCCACTTCTTCTTTGATTATGGAGGGGAGGGGAAATTACACAAAGTCATGCACAATAATTTGCACTAGGCATAATGACGTTTGAGATATCTTTAACTTTCATTCTGCCTAGTCAAAACTGAATTACAGATATCTGCAATTGTCATATTAGATGTGTGACGAGTTGAATGTCGTTTTCAGTGATGTAATTGCTGATATCTGTAATTCCGTTTTGCCTAGTCAAAACTCAATTACAGATATCACTACAGTATCTGTAGTTTCGACTAGTCACTTTACGTTAGGCTACTGATATCTTGAAAGACAATTCCAACGATCCAAAATGTAATTACGAATAGTAAGAAAAATAGTAAGAACGTTGAATAGTTTAATAGTTTACGAATAGTAAGAACGTTGTTGATAAGGTTAGTCAGACATCGGTTTTAAATGCTAAAATGGTTTGCCATAGTCGTTAGTATCGCTCTCGGTCAACTCTATCACTGCTCTGTGTCATCACAGGGTGACGATGCAGCAAGGATTCAGGTCTTGTTTTGTTTCGAAATATGACTGATGTTCACGTTCAATAAAAAGCAAAAAAAAAAAAAAAAAAAAATACCTGTAAGAAAATTTTGTGACGCCACAGGGTGACGATGCAGCAAGGATTTATGTCTTGTTTTGTTTCGAAGTATAAAAATACCAGTAAGAAAATTAGTAGTAGGCCTACCTCACGGTCCTCAGTGAGATACTTGTGTCATGGCTAAACTGAACTGGTTCACTTGTTCTTTTTTGAGCTCAGGACGATGTGCTTCAGTGTTATTTTGTAGATATTTAGCACTATTAAACACTGGATGTCTGACACAAAAATAGTCTAGACTATTTCACTAAGTATTTCAATTTAAATACTTTTTTATTAATGTTTTATGAAATACTTTTGTACATTTTAAGCAGTTATTCAATGCATGCAGTTTACAACGGGTAAGTGGGAAACCTATTAGACATCACAAGCATCTCTGCACCTCATAATGCATAATGTAGGCTACTTATTCTGCAGTAAAACAAAAGTAGTTACCCCTCAAGTGACATTTCTATACTGCAAAGTAATACAACTCAGCAGAGTAATACTGTTAGTTAAGCAAAATACCTGGCAACATTGCGTGCTGTGCCACAATCATGAGTAGTACAGTAGTGTAGCTATGTAGCCTAAGTACCAGTTTCTGATGTGTAAGAGATCCCAAACAATTTCTGTTTGAAAGCAGTGCTGTTATGCAGTGAGCTAACTCGCCTGTAAATTGCAGAACAGCTTGGCCACCAAGTGTGTCGAATTATCAGATTATTTCTTTATTTATGTTATATTGTCATAAAAAAGTTGAATCAATAAATAAACTAACTGAACTCTTTGTACAAAACACTGTTATATACAGTAGCCAACAAGGATGGTTTTACCTGAACATCTATGTTATATTATATAAAGTCACATTAAAGTACATTTGCTTAAAAGTACCAAGTGCACATTATGCATCAATAGAATTTTTAGTTGTATGATGTAAAACCACTTCTTTTTCATGTAATTTCCCTGTAAATAAAATTGTAACTACAACAAAAATGCATATGCACGTGATTCTCTGGTATCTTGTAGTTCATCAGCCCATGGTGTTGGGATAATATCTAGTCTCAGGGTGAACGGCTGCAGTGGAGCCTGTGGTGTATGTTTGTCCGTTCAGAAGGAAGTATGGGTAATGAATGGCTGTAATCCTGCTGGGCACATGTGTCAAAGAGTGAGGAGCAGGAGGAGGAACCACGTTCACATTCAGAGGACAGTTGGCTAAATTATAAGGTTGTGTCATGGCTAAACTGAACTGGTTCACTTGCTCTTGTGTGAGCACAGGACGATGTGCTTCAGTGTTATTTTGTAGATATTTAGCACTATTAAACACTGGACGTGTGACACAAGAATCTCTTGGTCGGACACAAGTTGCTTGGGGAGTCGAGACTATAGGCCATTGCGCTCTTTGTACGTCTGCTAAAGATCTCCTCTCATCAGAGTGTGATAAAGTCACTCGTCTTTTCGACAGAAGATGAGGATTTATGTCTGAGTGTGCATGAGACGTGGAAGGTGCAGACATAGTCCAGTCCGCAACCGTGCTTCCAACCTTTCCCCAGTGGCCCGGGTCCACCCTGTGAGGAAGAGTGTAGTAAGGCCTCGGGATCCCAACGTGGGTTGTAGGAGTTGTTTGGAAAGGGGGGTTCCCACCTTTATTTTGCATGTTACATTGTGTGATGTGTGGATGAGTTGCCCTGAGGACGTTGGAAACATTTATCAGCCACACATTTGTTAAAAAGCCAATGCAATATGCATTGAAAATAAACATTTGAACTTTATATAAAACATTTTTAAACGTCTCCTACCTCCTTTTGGCCATGTTGTAAGTCACCTCCTTGTCAACATTTAGAATCTAGATTATTCAAAAAAAATAAAGCATTTATTAGAAAGACACAAAATGTTTTTATTTCAAATATAATTAAATTTAATATCATCCAAAAAGCAACTCTAACTTCCTTACACTCTTAAAAATAAAGGTTCCGAGAGGTGGGGTTTTGCATTGAAGAATTTTTGGTTTCAGTGATTTATTTTCTTAGTGTGAATAATATTTAAAAAATCTAAAGAACCTTTTTCCACTATAGAACCTTTTGTGCAATGAAAAGGTTTCATGAATGTCAAATAACTTTTATTTTTAAAAGTAGTTCTGTTTTAAAAAAAAAAACTTTTGCTGATAATTTACTCACCCCCATGTCATCCAAGATGTCCATGTCTGTCTTTCTTCAGTCGAAAAGAAATTAAGGTTTTTGATGAAAACATTCCAAGATTTTCTCCATATAATAGACTTCAATGGGAACCAAACGGTCCAAGGTCCAAAAGACAGTTTCAGTGCAAACTGCAAACTCTTCAAAGGGCTTTAAAAGATTCCAGACAATGAATAAGTGCCTTATCAAGCGAAATGATCGCTCATTTAAAAAAAAAAAGTTTAAGTTTAAGTTTTATAAGCTCAAATGATCGCCTTGCTCTGTTAGGGTTAGGGTGTGATGCGCGTTCGTGACTCTCCTATTTGAACTCGTTCATAAAAATGAAGAAATCTTTTCCCAAGTCAACTCGTTCATTTCTTTCGTTGAATGAACCAAACGACACAAAAAAAGATTTGTTCATTTTGATGAACGAGTTCGAATAGGAGAGTCGTTTAAAAATCGTTTAAACAGTTTGCACTGAAACTGTCTTTTGGACCTTGAACCGTTTGGTTCCCTGTTACCCCTTTTCCACCCAAAAAGAACTGGTTCGGAACTGGTGCTGGTTCAAAGTTGGTTCGGAGTTGGTTCAACTTGCGAACCCATTCAGAACCTGTTTGTTTTTCCACGACGTCGTTACGTCACTGTATGTTGCTAGAAACGCTTGCAAGTACATTACTTTGGAATTATCTCTAACTCGTGTACCAAAAAGGCTTTAAAAACAATTGAAATATGTAAGTATTTTAATCTTTTCGTTTGATATGTAATCTTTTCTGATAAGTTATGTACCCCTGTCTTGTGTCTTTTTTTTCTTTCCATTTATTTGTTCAATATCGTGACTGTTTTCTTTGCTTATGTTTCAAATAAAAATAAAAACGCTTGCGCCAACTTCAAGCTTAACAACAAAGGCGGACTCCATCGTGTTTCTGCAAAGGTTTCTCTTGGCTTTGCAATCCTTTATTATGGTCAGAAAAGATGTTTAGAACACATCTAAACCCGCCCCAGCCCTCACAGAAGCATGACGTGGTAAAAGAACGATTCTTGTCCAGCAAAGAGTTGGTGCCGCTTTGGAACCAGTTTTCCCGGCCGAAAACCGTTTTTTTGGCTGTCGAAACACAAAAAACTGCGCGCAGGCACCGGCTCCGAACCGGCTCTCAAAATGCTTTGGTGGAAAAGGGGGTTTGGAATTCCATTATATGGAGAAAATCCTGGAATGTTTTCATCAAAAAACCTTAATTTCTTTTCGACTGAAGAAAGACAGACATGGACATCTTGGATGACATGGGGGTGAGTAAATTATCAGCAAAAGTTTTTTTAAAAGTAAACTACTCATTAAAGAGTGTGAAGTCAAAGTAAACTGCCATTTGCAACTCATAATGCAATGTATTTCTTTGTGAAAGAAGATATTCAACGAGAGAAAAGGACATTATTCACTGGGATGGATCAAGAAAAATGGATGTTATGTTGGGAGCCAGATCAAGTACGAGTTTGCTAAAACAATGCATTATATAAGGAAAGGGGAAAGTAATTTCTGAGAAAATGATTACATTTTAATTAACTTTCTGTTTTGAAATTTTAAAAATCACAGCTTCATCGGAATGTTACGAAACTTAGTGACTTTTATGGCATTGGGTATGTGAACACACACAAAAAAAATTGTGTACAATCTACAAATCGGCCACGATGCAGAAAAAAAGTGCTCAGCATTGAAGGGGTGACAATCTAAAACATCAAGAGTGCAAAACAGACATACCCACCCCTACACACACACATACACACACACTTTTATACACAAAAACACCAATAAATTGTGATTAAAGAAATCTGTTTTGAATATTTAAAAATCACAGCTTCTTCAGAAAATTACGAAACTTGGTGACTTTTATGGCATTGGGTATGTGAACACACAAAAAAATTGAGGTCATGATTCGAGCAATTTAAGTGGTCGTAAAAAAATGAGTCACGCTTTTGCTCTTCTGTCAAAAATGACGACCCATAGGAAATGAATGGGAAATTGACAAAAAAAAGAAATTCTCTGAATTTTTGTAGGCCTATGTACAATCTACAAATTGGCCACAATTCTAAAAAAAAAAAGTACACCGCAGGAAAGGGGTGACACTCTACAACATCTAGAGTGCAAAACAGACACACCCACCAACACACACACACACATACAAACACACTTTTATACACATACACACCAATAAATTTTGATTACAAAAAGTATGTTTTGAATTTTTAAAATATTTGCAAATATATTATTAACATCGCGATGTTATGAAACTTGGTGACTTTTATGGCATTATGTATGTGAACACACAAAAAAATTGAGGTCATGATCTGAGCATGCTTAGTGGTCTTAAAAAAATAGTCACACTCGTGGTCTTTGGTCAAAAATGACCCCATAGGAAATGAATGGGAAATTGTAAAAAAAAAAAAAAAAAAAAAAAAAATTGTGAATATTTGTTTTTTGTCATTTTTTTATATAAGAAATAGTTTTTGAGATTGTTTCAACTATATATACAAATCCACCAGCAACAAAAAAATGTGTTCATAAACAGCTGGGGAATTCACATGCCTCTCTATAGAGAGCTGTACATGCCATCTAGTGGTTACACCATGATTTTACGCTTTTTCTCTATACTGTAACCAGATGGTGCTAATTTTCTTCAAAAAATTTTTTTTTCTGAAGGCCTAGACTCTATATTAAACTAAAATATTGCATTAATATTTTTTTGAAAAAAATAATATATATATAGAAAAATATATATATTTTTCCATGGCAAAAATAAACCATAAATATTGCATAAATATTAATAAATTCAATTAAATTGTCTCAAAATATTAAATTAAAAAGAATAAATATTATAGAACAAAAATAAATTGTTTTTACTGGGATGGAGAAAGTTTCATTTTTAGGTGTCCGGTCACTATTGACCGGGAAGATAACAAGTTCGAAACGAAGCGAAGAGCACCTGAGGGTTAAAGACATCCAAGCCAAACTATTTTTTTTTTCCTTTGGAATAACATGAACCTTGAATCACCCACACTAAAAAGTTAAAACCTAACGTTTTGATTTCATGTTGACTTGAGTGAAATGTTACCTGTGCATCACTGGATTGAGAGGACATCCATAACTGTAAACTTTTGCGTTTCCGTGCAGCATCACTCTTATGTCTCGTCTCAGCCCCATCCATGGCTATAGGAGGCTGGTCCACTTTGTTCACGAGAGTAACACCTGACTCCGTCACCCCAAAAATAATCTGCGGGTTTGAATTCTTATATGTCTTGAGAACCTCACTCGGTGCACCATGACCCATGTCTTGCCACACGAGAACCTTAGAGGCGTCATAAAGAAGGTGTTCAATCCCAAACCATGATATTTTGCTAATCACTTCCTTGCATGATTTCATGAAAAGAGCTTTTTCTTGGAGATATCTGCATGTGATGGACAGATGCTCTGCTTTGCCCACATCAAATGTCCCAGGCAACTGATCTGATGGTGTTTCCACAAAAGTCATTATGACTTTGTGGACCTTTTCCAGTCTTTCCAAACTGTCGCCGAAGTTGATCATCGCAGCTATTGGTACAGATAAAAAGAAGCTTTTAATATCGTGTGGATTCCTGAGAGCGGCCTCAGCCTCGAGGAGCTCGCGCTTGCTCTTCAGATACATGTAGTAAGAGGCATCAGGCGCCGCATGGAGCTGTTGGTGCAACAAGGACACGGCACTGTAGTATTCCTGCAGTTTCCTGTAGCCCTCTTGTGCCAGGATATTTTGGAAAGAAACGAACAACGACGACTGCTGCTGAAAGCCAACCTCCCCCTTGTAGAGTTCTCCGTAAAGAGAGGGATCGTACCAAAGCAAACTCCTAAATGTAGGTTTACCTCGCAGGAAGTTCATTTTGTTTTCTACAAACTGCCAAGCTTCCATCATCATCTGCAACTCCAAGTATGAGTTCACTGCTTCATACTTCAGGTCTACTTGTGCAGGCGGATGGTCCAAATATTGCTCTAAGATGAGGCATCTTGAAACGAAAGACTGGTCGAAGGGCACTTTCTGATCTCGTTCAAAATTAGAGATGAAATACTGCAACATGTTTTTACATTTAGTCTGCAAAGATCCAAGTTCGGTTAACGAGGTTGTCTTGTCAGCCAATTTAAGAGTGTTTGAAATGTCACTGATGCTGTATTCACTGTCAGCGAATGTACTGCTTACATCGCCATCGTCAATGATTTCTATCGTGGTCAAAGGCAGATTCCCCTGACTCTTTCGTTCACATAAACTATCCAAATTCTCGGAGGGATTTTGTCGGCCAGTTGTGCTCGCTCTTTGCGTCTGGAACTGGGCATCGGGGGTGCTATTGATGGAGATTTCTGGGGAACCAGTGTTCAGGTCGTTCACTTGGACCAGTGGAATCGAATTATCTTTGACGGTGTCTATTGCACTGGTACTGTCAGGACTGACACTAATAACTGAGCTCCTTCGTGATCTTCTAGTGCGTTTAGTATGAGAAGATCGTCTGCCTCTCTTAGACCCAACAGGCACTAGCAGGCAAACATCAGCTCCAGTTTGAGCATGTTCCCCTCGAGGGGCCCTCCTGGTTTGAACAGGGGTTTCAGTGCATTCACTGGGGTAGTCTTGCATAACAGCGTCGCACACGGGAGGCATCAGGCAGGGAAGATTCACCACACAGCACTGGCCTTGTTCAAACAACTGCTGTTTATGTGCCGCGCTGTCAAGTGTTATCCACACCACTGGCCTGTCCTTCAGATCTTCATTCACTGCTTCTTGTTTCTTGACAGTGGACTCAAATTTGGTCAAATAATCTCTTAGTTTAGAAATAAGCTGGGTTTCTGGTGAGTTTGCATCATCTTTTTTGTTTTGCTCTGGCCTTGATAACTCACATCTGTCTATTATTATGTTAGCATTTGGTGATTTGGTTGAACCAAGCGAATTGATTTTGTTGCTCTTTATATTCTCTGACGAAAACTCACATTTGCCATTCAACACATCAACAGTAAGATCTACAACATTGTTTGATGCACATTTCAAAGTCTCTAGACTACACTGCTTTGAATCTGATGTTGCGTCTGGATCAGTACTCAAAACACTGCTGCCATTAGATGTGTTGGTAGAAATTTCGAGACATGATTGGTTCATATTTGGGATATTTACTGGCATGTCTTCTCTTGCTTGTACATTTCGAAGACAAGCATTTTGCTCACAGTTGATAGTGTCTGTCTCAGCTGTATTATCGATATGAATCACTTTGGCTCCTTGAGCCATGTTTGTCTGTTCAGTTGTATGACTGTTGTTTGTAGTTATATCACTGTTGGCTTTTAATGCCTCATAATCACAAATACTCAAGCTCTCAGAAGCATCTACATTGTCATCTACTGATATTTTCATTGTGAAATCCTCATTGCTTAATGGATCCAATCCAGTCTCTGATGTGACTTTCTCCTCATTGCGCTCTGTGACACTCCCATAATCTTTGCTAGTGCTTTTCATCAAGGATATTTTGGAATGATCTGAGATGTTCATAGTTGTCCCAACTGGTTCTCTTCCATCCACCATTACTGAGAGGTTTGAAGTTACATCTTTTGATACCTTCCCAGTGTAGTCTGAATTGCTTTCACATAGATCTTCTGAACATGGTTCTGTTGGATGTATTGCTTCCTCTTTGGCCTCAGGAACAGTGTTGAAACCTATTGATGATGTCATATCTTTGCTGGCTGTACAACACTGATCTTGGATTATACTTCTAAAAGCATTAGCTTCCTGACAGCTCTGAATGTGCAACCACTTTCGTTCATAGTCAGCATCAGATGTGTGGGATATTACTCTTAAATTAGAGTCCGGGTCTTGATCTTTTTCAGATGACTGTGACAGACTGTTCGAAACGTCTGACGCTGCCTTGCTTTTTACTGTTTCATTGGCACTCTTAGCTGACACAATTCTTCTGCAAAGATTCTTCTTTGCATTCCAAAAATGTGTCTTCTTGAGATATTTGCTTCTCTTTAGAGAGTGAGCTAGTGATAAAAAAGTGTGCTGTTTTCTGAGACATGCCTTCTTAATTCCTGGCCCGCTCAAGCTCTTTCTTTTACTGAATCTCTGAGCTAGTAGCTGTATTAGTTCGGCATTATAGGTTTCAGTTTTTTTGTGTCCTTCACTGCTGCACATTTGGGTTCCTGGGGTTTCAATCACTTTGTTGTTTCTTCCACTCAACTTCTTTTGAAGGCCTTTGATTTTTGAAAATCGTTCAGAGAGAGAAAGCATTTCTCTTTTATGGGCAGAAGTTTCGTTGGCCTTTAGCTTAACTAAGAGATGGAGATTTCTCGAGCATCCTGTTTCTAGGTTTGTTTCAGCTTTGTTGTGATCTTTGCTTACATTTTTTGCCATGGAAATGGTGTCTGCAGGTCTGCCTATTACTCTGGGTGTAAGATAAGCCCTTGAGCAGAAAACATGCTTTTGATTCTTACTTGGCAATAGCTGATCAAGTTGAAGTCTTTTGTACAGAGTTTCCAGCTGTACTGTTTCCAAATCAAGCTCTGGAGATATTTCAGAGAGTTTGTAGCATTTTTCCTGTCTAAAAGAATCTATCTCTTGAACACTGCTGCAACTTTTGAGATTGCAGTTGTCTGATTCCCCGCAGCTAGAGACTTCGACACAGCTTGCAATATCCATGGTGTTGTTTGCATACACAAGAGATGATTTAGTGCCAGGTCTTTCATTCAAATGAAGCCCGGGGGCAGATCCATCGTCCTGCTCGTCCTCTCCTGCACTTCTGGAAAGCTCACACTCATTGCTGTGATTAACCGTAGCTTCATTAGAGCGATTCGGGAGCTTGAGGTCAAACTGAACACTTGGTCTATCAGCTTTTTCATTGAGACTCAGTAACCCCAGCACCAAGGGTTGCTCTGGAAGTTTATCTGGAGACTGAATCAGACATCCATTGGGATGCTCCTGATGAATCTCTGGTAGCATGTGATCCTGTCCCTTTATTTCTGTGCTGGGTTCTGGGCGATCTGGATGTTTGGTTTCATGAATATGTGTCCATTTATCCCCATTAACAAAATCATTGTAATCTGACAAACTTGCAGTACCATGTGGTTGTGCTTGTTTGGACTGATTCTGTTCGTCTGTGTGTTTTGTCTGTAAAACTTGATCTTCTGTGGGCTCACTTTGAGACTGACTGGAGGTGTCCTTTGTCTCGATGACTTTTTGAAAGAGCATGCCCTTTTTATACTTCTCGTAATAAACCTCATAAAAATGTATACGGTCAGCTAGTTCTTGCTTTTGTTCTGGTGACATGTTTTCTTGTGACCAGATTTTTTGATGTCTCTCTTCCTCATTCAGTTTAAAGTATGCAGCATATTTATGGAATTTCATTTTGAATAACTTCATTGAGGGCAATGCTGGGATGGGCACACATTGATCATTCATTGTAGATTTTAAGGAGCAACCGTTTTCTCTTTGAATTTCCATCTGGTCAGTGTTTGATGGCTCTTTTGAATCACACTTATTTCCAGCCAATCCATAATTGTCCTCTTGGGTTTGACAGGCTCGTTGGCCGTTTGCATTATCCCACGCTGCCTCGGCCTCTGAGCAGTTGGTCTGTCGTTTTGCTTCTTGTTTAGACAGACGCGGATCCCTGACCAAGCGTGAAGAATACACTATGGTGGAAATTTTGTCCAGTGGACTTTGAGGTCTTTTGTCCCATTTACTGTCACGTCTTCCACGTGCGAATGCTTTCTTTCCCAGCAAGCTTTGGGAGAGATCAGTGTGACCCGTAACTGGCATTGAACTGCTGTCCTCGCTGGCAGGAGTCTGGCACTGCTTCGGCTTGAGTGACTGAGTGTTTTGCATATCCGTCTTTTGAAATGGAGCTGGATTTTGAGGTGTATAATCCGTCTCAAAGCAGCCTGGCGTGCCAAAATGTTTGAATGTAATGGTGGCTGTGTTTCCCTTTCGTCTTCTCTCTGCCACAGTACAGGCTTTGAATCGATCTATTGCATTTTCTGTGGTAGAATAAACACACATTGTTGATTAAATAAACAGAAGTATAATAAATCGTGCGACACACATTTCTACAAAGCCATTTTTAAATCATGTATTATGAAACGTGCTATACAACTAAGCTTGACATGATACTGATGCATGGATTTGATGTGTTAATAAAGAGGTTTGTTTTATCTTACCATGCACTTGGCCGACAGGTAGCGTTGAAGGAGAAAGTTGTAGGTTTGCAGGAACATTCAGAATGACAGTGCTGGCAGGAACAAATGAAACTACAGCATACGGCAAACACTGCCTGGGTCTTTCACTGAGCTCCTGCTTTTCATTATAGTCAAATAGAAAAACCTGGAAAAACAATGTTTTATTAAGACTCCTGCTGATCTTTAGATATACACTATTTGATTGGATCGTTTGCTATTCTGAGATGAATCAACTCACAGCGGAACCGAGTACTTGCTGGTGAAGAGTGTCTCGATGTGACGCCGCATCTTTACACATGTGACAGTCAAAGCTCACTGTGGGATCATGTGTTTTGTTCCAGTCCAAGCTTGGAGCAATTTTTTTCACCTTGCCATAAAGAACCTGAAGCCCCAAAGCGCAAAAAATGGTCACAAATGTCCTTCCACAAGTAAGTGTCATTCCAAAATGTTTAAAGGGTACAAGAAACATTCAACAAACCTTGAAAATTAACAATTTTTTTGCACTTAATGTGCTGGTAGTTGACTTTAATGCCACGTCGACATGCTTAAACAGATAAACACCATGCGATGGCTTTCCCAAGGCATGCTGGACTGTGTTGCCAACCCGCAGGCCATGCTGATAAATCTGGGCTGCCATTTGATCCGATGCCGCTAAAAAACAGAAACTTTCCTCCATTTCTCTCCCGTGTCTTCCTCTGGCACGCATCTCTGCCCTGCAGTCAGCCGACGAGCGGTGACAGATCAGCAACATGCACTTTACGAATATAGTATAACAGCAGAATCACTGAAGATGCGATTTTCTGTAATTACCTTTTTTCAGAGAACTTCTTAAAGAGCTCTTCATTGTGCACTAAACAAACATCTCTCCAGATCCATGCGTTTGCTCGGTCCTTCCTCGAGTCCAGGTTGGAGTCTCTCAGTTTGGTCTGTATGAGACCGTAATCGCGGCTCTCCTCTGAGCAACGTTCCAGAAGGACTGACCCAAGAGAAGTTAAACAGCAGAGGAATTCAACATTATGACAGTACCATCATCACACAGTTTGCATGCCATCTTAGATATGGATTTTAAGAAAGCTTAGTCAAACCTTCTCCAGAGGGGCGTTTCTTCCTGGGAATGGTGAAGTTCTTCAGGGTTGCTGTTAATGCCGACTGCTGTGATCGAAAGCCCTCTACCATCTCCTCACGCGGTCGTCTCTCCATACTTGTTCACAGCTGATAAGATTGTCCCTGGAATAGACAATATACCTTACTTAATCAAATGTCACTTAAAAGAGTCTGATGACTCTTTGCTCAGTGATATTGCCACTATAAGAAGCTGTCACTCAAACAGATAAACCTTAACAGCCGATTCGGTCGATTCACACACACAGTTGGTGTTTCGGTTGTTTACTTTATAGATAACCAAAGGTATATGGATTCAGGATCATTGGTGCAATCGTATAGCAATTGTGCTTTTAATCGCATGTTCCTTAACCTGTTGCCCACTAGCACTAAAACACACTTATCAGCACCCTGCGTTAACGTACAGACAACTGCCTTTATGTAGAATAATGTATAGAGTTAAAACTAAATCTCACCGAGTGTCATGACTCATGGCAGCGAGAGCTTCCCTGTTGTCCAGATTATATGTATGTTTTAGTGCACTGCTCACAAAAGTGGACTTTGATTACTCTACATGCTGTTAAACCTGGCCAGCTCTCCGTTTGCTCTGTCAACCATATACAACCATAAAACGCCATTGAGGTTTTATTTCAACAATGACCCTTTAATCAGACTAAGTAGATGCTATTTTAGGACAAGGAGTGGTCGCAGAAATCTTGACTAAGAAAAAGAAATGCATCTTGGAAAATAATAACACTGCCAAAGCGAAACTCAACACACAAAATGGTAAAACACATCTGTGAAATGCAAACATTGACACAGGTATTTTAGCTTTTACGTGTAAAGGCAGCTTTTAGATGTGGTCAGAAGATATAACGGTTTAGGGAACGTTACTGTTATGCAATGACAATCACATGGCTTCTAGAGAAAGCTGATTTAGCTAAAACTCTGTATTATTAGTATATTTAAAACTACATGTTATTTTCACATGACAGTGTATGTGAAAACACAGATATGAATATGTATGTGAAGCCTAGTTAACACGTCTACACCATAACCGAGAAAACATACTGATATGTATCAACACTCTGATGAAAGATATTATAGTTTTGCTTTGTAAGATCAAAGTTTTGAGTACTTACCATCACGTAAAACGTCTGTTAAACATGCATGGCATGATCGAAGATGTCTTAGCTGGGAACTGTGCGAATTTGTCACTTCAGTTTGAGGAACATCAAGTGAGACATACCAAAAAGGAAATCGCTTGACCTCAAACACTGAGCAGCAAAGCACAGGAAATTACCTAGTACTGTTAACACTAACACCACGGGTTCTTCTTTAGTCCAACCACCAGCGAGTCTTGAGAAAATATCACCCACACACACAAGAGATGAGAATGATTGGTTCATTTTGCTTTGACCATATTGTTGAATTTTAGTATTATGTTTGAGCAACTTTTCTTGATATGTGGGTCAAGGGTCACCACACAGACAGGGCAAAATAGAAAGAGACTAGCCTACATATTCATGTAAAAGCTTTGCTTTTTCAATGTGTAAAGATTCAAGATGACACTTGAATATGAACAAAATGGTTGTTTCATATCTCTTTTTTTTTCAGTACTTCCAACATATGTGCATTTCTCAGATGCACTTTGGATCATTTCCTCAAGAGAGGAAATGTTTTTACTTGAAGGTGCTCACCAACTGACCATCGTTCTCAGAAAGAGAAGCCTCTATTTACAGGGTTTACGCCCATCATCTCACACGCCGTTTCTGTGCTTCCTTTTTTGTGGCTTCTTAGAATGATTCGAATCTCTGACTAAGTTCTTAAAATACATACACATCCTATGAATGCAGCTCTGTAAAACAGATAAAACACAATTACTTGATTTAATAACCAGTATTTCTAAAAGAAAAGGCCAGAGACCCAGCTAGCAATAGCCGTTATTTCCGGGTCAACTATAGACCCGGTATAGTCCGGCTATGAGTAACACACTTCTAGTCAAAATAACTTTGAGTTTGGTTGTTTTGCCAAAATAGAATATGCCATCAAGTAAGCAAAGTAAACAGTGGTTTCATGTCTTTGACATGCGTTGATGACTATCCTTGGGCGATGGTTAGACGTCCATTACATTTTCACTGACAGCCCAAATTTTGCCTTGTTTTAGTCTGGACGTCAGGGCTGTGTTTGGAAGGCTATTAGATGTTTTTTAAACACAAAATTGCTTGCTGAGAGAGGTTACGATCGGGCAGCTATCTGTGACCATGGCTCAAATGACCCTGAGTCAGAGGGATATTTCGTCCTGTTAAGATTCAGTTTATGCTGAACACACTCGCCAAATACAGCACTTCAAACTACAGGACTGTATCCTGCACTGTTTGTCCTTATGACTCTTCAGAGACACTAATTTAATATAAAAAAAATTTGAGTTTAACCCTTAAAGAGTTTCTTGGGGGATACAGATATTTAACAGGCTGTAGGGGGAGGGGCTATGGGGGAGGGGCATTATTTGGTTGCAGTTGATGAGAAACACTGATGGGGTGATGGGTCATGTAATAAGGTCATGTGACTTTTTGCTATAACATTCCAAATATTTGTATCAAACTCCAAAATGGCAGCATACCTGGACAAAGGCACTGGCCATGAGCAAAGTGTTTTTATATTTTTCACGATTATGATATTTTAGAGTGATTTTGTTTTAGAAAGTAGTTTTTTAAGGATAGTTTTACATGTTCGTGTTGATATTTTCAAAATAATCTTCTCACAACTTTGATTATCAGGCATTGAATGTTTGTATCCCGGGGGATACATTGCCCATATAAGGGTATTTGCCAGGGCTGATCACTCACAGATATTCTCATGTTTTGAGGCCTGTTCTCTACAGATATTGAATGGGATAAAGGTTTTGGATGTGCCAGGATGGGCAGATATCCATCATGTGTCAGAAGTGCAAAGTGAGGCTTTGCCTGGTCACTGGACAAAATGCTCGCAAATGTTTTGTCAGCTTCCATTGCCCATAGAATATATCTGTTGTGGGGCACCACAGCGAAGATGGTAGAGTTAAAAAAACAAAACAAAAGGTGTTTTAAAAATCGGCACATGAACTGTTTAAAAAGTTATGAAATATTAAATGTATATCCTACATAGGCAATGCATCTTGGGAGAAAAAGTTCAGTTTTTTCCAATTTTTCTAATGTTGTATGGATAATATGAAAATTGTAGCTAATGAATTGTTCATTAAATGTTTTAAAAGTTGTCATATGAACTATAAAAATAAAAAAAAAAATTGCAAAATGTAACCCTAAATGGGCAATGTATCTCGGGAGATACAGAGTGTAACTTAGAAACTATAGGTCATGTTTTGAAAAAAATGCATGAACTCTGTCATTTTAGTCTAGATACATACAAAAATAACAGTGAATCATTTTTCCATCAAAATTATTTATGCTTGCCCCTTAAAGGGTTATATACCAAAATATCAGTGTGCAATTGACAAAAAAAATATTGTTGGTTCAACTTAAAAAATTAAGTAACCTGGTTGCCTTAAAATTTTAAGTTCATTGAAATGGAAAGATTGAGTTAATACAATGAAGGAGATTGATTTAAAGGGTTAGTTCACCCAAAAATGAAAATTAAGTCATTAATTACTCACCCCCATCCTGTACAAACCCCGTAAGACCTTCGTTCGTCTTCGGAACACAAATAAAGATATTTTTGATTAAATTTGAGAGCTGTATAACTACCACATTGGCTCCTAAGGGACTGCCTCTCTTGATGGCCCAGAAAGTCAATGAAGAAAATGTTTAAATATCTCAAGTGACTACCGTGGCTCAACTATATGTTTATCAAGCGACGAGAATACTTTTTGTGCGAAAAAACAAACAAAAATAACGAGTTTATTCGACTATTCCTTTTCTTCCTTGTAGGCCAGAAACGAGACTTCCTTAGATTTCCACGACGCATGTGCGAGAATTGCGATCTCCTTACACTACTTCAGTTCAGTTCTCGCGCATGCGTCGTGGAAATCTAAGGAAGTCTCGTTTCTGGCCTACAAGGAAGAAAAGGAATAGTCGAATAAACTCGTTATTTTTGTTTGTTTTTTCGCACAAAAAGTATTCTCGTCGCTTGATAAACATATAGTTGAGCCACGGTAGTCACTTGGGATATTTAAACATTTTCTTCATTGACTTTCTGGGCCGTCAAGAGGCAGTCCCTTAGGAGCCAATGTGGTAGTTATACAGCTCTCAAATTTAATTAAAAATATCTTCATTTGTGTTCCGAAGACGAACGAAGGTCTTACGGGGTTGCTACAGCATGGGGGTGAGTAATTAATGACTTAATTTTCATTTTTGGGTGAACTAACCCTTTAATCATCAGAAACTCAAAATATTATGTTATATGAACTACATAAAATATTTAAGTTGATTTGACAAAAGAAAACATGTTGTGATTACAAATAATGAAAATATTTTTTACAGTGCAGAAAATAAGTTAAAAGCATCACCGTTTTGCCAGCATATTCTTACAAGAGTCAATAAAATATATTTCTGTTAGCCAAAGATATCTCTCATCAGAGATATCTAAGATATAGATCAAAAGACACATTTTAAACATAAAAAAAGTTGTACTTTATTAGATTGTCTGTGGAACTTTTACACACAAATATTGGGTAACTGTAAATAAGCATCACACATTTCAGCATGTACTTTGGTGAGTATATGACACCTTGATTCACCCACATGTGGCAATATCAAGCACTGTTATTCGCCGAGTGTCAGTAGATGGGCTGCTCTCTGGTTGCATTCAACAGGGGTGAACACAACTTTTCTATGTCAACCGTAACGGGAAATCAACGGCCACCGACACACGGCTGCGACTCAGACTCCTGAGCGCTCGGAAGAATGCATGACTTACAGTTACGCAAAACTGCTTGCGTTGAGAACGGGCATCGTGAGAGTTAGGCCGGCGTAGGGCCTCGGGTTTGCTCTACTGTTTCCATTGTCATTCCACATGCATGCAGCTAGGGTCCAGTTCAGCACCTTTATTTGTTCTCTATAGCACCATTTTTTCATATATATACGGTCTATACTGTATATATACTGTAAGTTTGTCAGGACCCTACTGTTGGCATGCACATACGTCTATTTTAAACTTCATATTTCTCCAGATATGTATAATCCTACATTTTTCACCCTTTTTAAAAACATTACAAGGCAAATCAGGAATATTCATACTGTACCATACATATTAGACAGAAACTAATACAGTACTCACATTAAAGAAGGTGCTACTAGACAGAACCATTTCTTTCTTGTTTTTGAGTCGTATAATATTTGAAGGCTCTACAGGAGGACACACTACATTACGGTACACCAAAACATCCTTTGCATTTTTTTTTTTTGCCATCTTTTAAAATAATTACCAAACACCAACACGCCTTAATTCCAACTGCAGATGATCAACACAAAGATTTTAAAAAAAAAAGGAACAACTGAAAAAATCTTGTGAACAACCACTCTGTTTTCTTTTTTTGGACGCCACATCACCCACATAACAACCAAGAACGAATAGATTAGAAGTTTATGCATTTCTGCTCCATATTTCCAGAACTAAAATATTTTACTTTTTGACTCTGTGTTATTGTTCATTTTATGTGCGATATACTTTTCCCCCGGTTCTTTTGTTTTCTTACATCATGCGTACAAAATGTAACGTTTTAGAGATGAAGGCAAACTACGTTGGAGCAACAATTTGTAACCCTAAAGTCGATCATTACAACCGCAGCGTAATTTTTTTAAGGCCTATGGGTTGAAAACGTGACTTCGGTACATGTAATGCATAACAGTCCAATTTCATGAATTCAAGTGTTTAGAGTAACTCGGATATAGCTGCAATACAATAGCATTTTGAGATGGCCTTATAAATTGACATAGCTGTTTCCTCTAACACTACAGGAAAATAGTCTTATATTCCAATAATTCCTTTTTTAAAATGAAATCCGCTGTTTTATCAGGGTGATAAAATGTGTACAATAGCAATATTTGTATACCACCTATACATAAAGCAAGAAAAACATACAAACACTGCTCTCTTCTGGTCATGCATTGCACATACACGTATAACAAGCATACTTTACTCGTTTTCTTTGTTGGGAACAAACCTGTACTCAGATTTTTAAAGTGCACATGGTTCATCCATTTCGCATTAGCTTTTACACTGCTTCATAGGTGAAAGAGAACAACCTTCCGCTGCCATTCAAGGGTAGCTTTACGAATATTTTGATGCCT